AACCGACTTTTTTCACGAATTACATTTTAATCGTTACTTATTTTTGTTTTAACGAATCATTATCACATATTCTTAACGATTTGCTAGTGTCATAACTGACTATACTCGATGTGGCATCAAACTAATCGATTCATAAGCTTTATTAACCGATAATACTTTATAATACAGTGTGTATTCATTAGTGCAGCAATATTATGTGATTGACGTAATCTTGACATAATCTAAGAATTTTAAGCTATAGTAATAACGTGAAAAAGCATTACAACTTCCTTTCTATACTGTGCTAAATACTATCACAAACAATAAACCGAACCTATGCATAAACTATTGCTGCACTAACAAATGCACTAACTGTACTGTAAAGCATTTTTCAAATATTTAGAATGTTTTGTTACTTTTGAATAAGGTAATTCTATGCCAAATTGAGTATAGTCCCATTGTCTAATCTTAGACTCCTTCCTCGCTGTACTAACACACCTATGTTAGTTTGTTGCCATGATCATCATATTCTGTATTGTCTCGCTTCGGGTTATTGACTCTTGCGCAATGACGAACTATAGCTTGGTTTACTCTCTGTATACAATCTTATCAATCAGCTGATTGATCGTTCTGTAATTTTAGAATTATTGGAATTTCGCATACTTATTCAAATATCCTCGTGGTATTAAGAGATTTCTTACTCGGTCACGTGATTCCATTTTACGAAATAACGTTAGTTTTCACATACTCTAGTAGCGTTTAGTGAAAAGGCGTACAGATCACTTTCATCGTTACCGATCATCTTTGATATTGTTAATTATTGTTAATAAAAAGCATAGCATATAAATGAACAGAATAGCGACGAATGTTATGAGTCTTTTATTTCGTTCAAGAATCGTGTCAATAATTCCATATCTTTCCAGTTTCTATCTGCACTAACAACCTCTGAAAGTTTGACGCGTTATTATCAATGAAACCGCTTATCTTCGACGTATGCAGAGAGTTTTGCAAACGGACGAAAGTCCCACCGACCAATGGATATTTAATTATGGCCGATGAAGACCTCATCCGGGCGCACCACTCATCCGTCAGAAATTCTCCTTGGAATATCAGCTCGTATTTTCATTCTGGTTCCTCGATGATGGACACTTTCGATCTTCAAAGTCCCTGAAAAAGCCATAATGTTCCGTTAGTAAAGTTTCATTGGTTAGAGAATTTTGCGCTATTTATTGATATATTATTAATGATATAATTAATTAATATTAATGATATAATATTATGAATTACTTTTAATAATCTACAGAAGAGTATTTATGTACACTAAATGTATACATTTTCAGCGATTTTTATTGTTTTGCCACACCTACCTTATATTTAGTTTAGATTAGATTTATTATCATCCTTGTTACAAAAAATTGAAGTATTTACATCTTATTATATGTTACACCTAGCTCATTTCCTTTTACAATTTTAGTGGTTGTGTTTACTTTATAATTATTACATGTACTATATATAGGCGTCCCTGAAAGATATTTACAAAAGCGGGCAAGATATGAGAAAAATACAGAATAACATTTTTCGTTTGGGGCATAATTTTCGAGAAAATTCTGTTTGAAAATTCGCTTTGTAGATACGCGCTCTCGGCTAAGACACGATTCGTATAAAACATTTGTACTTCGTGTGCAACAACAAGGAGAACTGTCGCATTTTACATTGTTTATAAACATGGTATGCGTACGTACAAAGCAAATGTTTCAAACTCGATTTACTCGAGTACCAGGCCACAAACGAGAAAACGTTATCCCGCAATTTTTTCATATTTTTTTATGAGAGATTACCTGATGTCTGCTTCTACATATCTCTCAGGGACGCCCTGTATATTCGTCGTTGTCGCACTTGTTATCGTACATTAACTGTCAAATTCAGGGTTACGTAAATTTAGCAATAGTATATCCAATTAGTCAACATGGTTTTATCGTATCACTGTGGTTCGTAGAAAAAGTCACCAAAATTGCGGTTCGTCACTTGTCGTATTTCTGTATTACTTTTGCGACAGAAAAATTTTCCTTCAAGATTACAAAATAATTTCCACGAAGCTATCAAATTATGAACAAGATCAATTCAATTCATTTGCCTTTTAAATGTCAATGTTCTTAATCTAATTTTATAAATATTTTCACGATGCCAGACACAGTAATGCTTTATACATTAAATCTTCACATTTCACAGATTCAGGATTTAAGATGTATTTTAGAGCTAATAATATCCATTACAAATGCAACGATTGCTGGATACACAAGATGAAGGAGGAAGAGTAGTATAAAAAGATACAAAATGCTACAGCACACGTCGTAAAGCAAAACTTGTTATCGAACTTCTGTATATAATTTAGTCTATGGTTACGTGTTTGCATCAAATTGAAAAAAAAGCAGAACAAAGAATTTAATAGTTCTCTTTACTTAATAATTAAGTATTAATAATAACAAAAAGCAAATTAATCTTTATTTAACAATTTTACCATTATTTTTATTTAATATTACAAGTTGGAAATGTATCGACAATTCTAAATTCTCTGAATCCTCCTATCGTTTTAAATTTTGATATTTGTTCTTATCACGTTCTTATCACATTTGTTCCTACAATTCCAGCAATTCTATTAATCCGATATAAAAAGTTCAGTTTTCCTCGTCCATTATGAATTTCATCTAATCTGTATCAACGAGTGCACCGCAAAATACCATCCGATGCTGAGCGGAAAGAAAAAGCCTCGCCTGTTTAAAAAGAACTGATTTGTAATGTCACAGCTGGTGTTCATTAATTGTAGATTACCAATTAAGTTCCATCAAAGAGCCGGCACAAGTTGGTCGCGTTTCGCTGTGTGAGTGTATACGCTTTGTGAGGACTAGCTGTGATATCTACAAACGTGAGATGAAACGAAATAAATTTTATGCCTTTGATCTCACGACTAAGAGTTGCGAAATGCGCGGAGATAAAAAGCTGTGAGTAACGTAGCAAAAGCGAAACAGTGAAACGAAAACCGAGGACGAGCCGAGGAGGAAAAGATTATAAAAATTCAGAAGAAACTAAATAATTAGCATGTAATAAAATGGTCTTGTTGATATGCTTTAACCCATTTCGTTTTTATTGCCGAACTAAAAATACCTTTTCTTCACGATCGCCAATTGTTTAATGAAATGATTGTAATTGGAGCTGCTTAATAAAATTAACATACTTTTTACTGCTAACGTGTTATTAGTAACATACTGTACGTACGAACTGTAAACGAGCTATTCTGAATTGCATTAAAAATTAAATCATTTTACTCTTTAAACATAAACTAAACTAAAACCATGAACAAGTCAAATCTCAAACACAGTTTCAACATCCAAATAAACGTTTATAAAATATCATTATTATTATTATTATTATTATTTTTACATCCAGGAATAGAGGAAAGCGAACGCAATTAAATGGCAGTCATGACAGGGCAATTTGAGAATATTGCGAGAGCCTCGAATTATATTGCGTAAATTCTCCATAATAACCGACTAAATTAGTTTTCACCGTTATATAGCTTTATTGATGTGACGTTGTACTGTTACATGGCATAATATATATTTCAAATTAGCTTACGTCGTTAGGTTACGCGGTTTTAATTTCCAAAATTCACGGAATTAAAAAAGCGAACATGTTATGCTAATGATACTCGCATATAGCGGAACATAAAACTCTGAAACTTCTAAAAAAAAAAGAAAAATGTCTCAGGGGTCCGCAGTATAGCTCATGAAAACATTGCAACTTCTGACGTAACATTTTCCTGCATCTTGCACAGTTTTCGAAATATTGACGACGACGTAGGACAGTCGCCTAAGAGGACCATTTTTCAGCAAGATAAAACTCCCTTCCGTTTCTAGGAAAATTCGACTGATTTCAAAGAAGAGACCAGGAATTTCCACGATGTTTCTAATCCGTGACGAATGAATTGTGCTCCAGAGAACAAAAATGCGAACGTTATCCGTGCGTGTACTTCGCGTTTACGACTGAACACCTGTAAACCGGTCAAATTCACCGTTTCCACATTCTTTGTTTGAAAATCGTTGCTTGGACTCTTTCGTACAAAACGATTTGACAAATTCCCGAATTTCAGCATTCGCTGTAACGGAAATGGGACGAAAGGTCTAAATAAAATTCAGCGTCGTCGTTCTTTTAAAATCAACACACGTCGGTCACTCTTCCAGCACTCGATAGGCGCAGCGTTAGCTCGCAAACGATTCCGTAAAACGCCATGGAAGAACGAAGGTGTCGCGCACAGTTCGAGATAATTCGCTCGTAACCCGAGCACGAGTAGGATGCGAGAAGCCGAAGTAGAATGTGTCGACGGAAGCAATTGGCACTAGTTCCGATTGCGTGGAAACTCTTCGCGGATTTCCGTCGAACGGAACTAAACGCCAATCATCTACGCGGTCCGTTGGCTCGCGCAGCATCGGTTACGGGCGGGCACAAATATACCGGAGAAAACCCATGGTTTCGAATAACGTCAGCGAAAAGATCAGAATTAGGTGCTGACGCAGACTTCATTGAAACAAGTGTTCACGCTTAAACGCGGCGCGTTATGATAATAACTACACTAAATCGGCAGTAGCGGCGGACGTTCCGACACGTTGGGTCGTGTCGGTGCCATAATGTCATCGATTGGAGCACAGATTTCTTTAGAAATGTCGCGACGACGACTTTACCACGCTTTTCTGTGCGCACAGTATAGACATTGTGCAAGAAGTATCTGCGTTGTTGGGAGATTGCGCGCGTTTATGACAGAAATGAGTAACCGTAATAGAAAACAGGAAAACGTCCGACGAATTTGTAATAAGGTAGTGGAGGCGGTTACTGCGACCAATTGCTGTGCTCTTGAGGTTCGTTCGTCGGGCATGATTAATTTTATATTGATCGAGTAAGATGCATTGGATTAAAAAAAAATCGATGAAAACGAAAGAATGAAAAGATCGAATATGTCTTATTCGATACGTATAAAACCCAGTCACCGGCTCCATTGGCCGTATTAAAATTATTGAAACTAGATTATTTAACTTTTTGCAATCGACGCGGATCATTTTCATTTCGTGTATAGATCTGACATCCAGTAATTAGAGATTGTTAACCCTCGTAAGCGATTAAGTTAATAACTGGTTGAAAGCAACTGGAAGACATTTTGCGTAATTATGCTCGAAGCGTGTGCAGCAATAAAGGCACTTTTCATGCACGCATTTCTCGTCCTACACCGGATTTATATCCTACATCTAAAAATGAATTAACTCCGAGTAATAAATGTAACGACTTCGCAACAGATAGCACCGCGCGATTAACATGTTTGGTGCAATAAAGAGGCAACTCTTCGAGATACCTCCTTCTAATCCGTTCTATCGTTATACGCTCGTCGCTTCTAAATACACCAATGATTCCAACGACCACGAAGAAGGTATGCTCTTTTCTCAAGCCTCGTTCTGTTCTTCTCTTTTGTTCGTTTTCCACGTCAAAAAGGCAGCTCCGTCGTTGAAATCGCGCTTATCGGAACAGCGAGATCGGAGCGAAATCGAAACAATGCCTACGAGTTGCTTTTCCGTTGGTTCGCTAAAATTAGTCGACGACGGTGGTTCGAGCGATTCCGTCGCACGGAATCGGACGAGAGAACTGTTAACGCGATGCATACTTAGCTGGCACGGAGAACGCCGCAGACGATTTATCCACATGGCCGCGGGGTGCCGGATGGCGGGAAAAAAATCGACGAAAACCGGGAGATCGGTCACGGTTTCTCGGCCGGGCTTCCGCAGGCGACCTGTCCGCACTTGAATCGCGGCAGGGACGAGGTCGGTCGAATCACAGGAAACGAAACTTCGGCCGCGCTTCAAATAATTTCGCGCACGACAGGCGGAGTGCCGCGCGGCCGGGTCTGGCAAACCGGGTCACTGTCATTCCCTCTAGATAATTTATTAGAAGGAAGTCGCGAGCGAGCGGATGGGAACAGCTACATTCCTGGCACAGTTGACATACCGGCCGCGAAGTCGACGTTGCGAGGCACTGGAAAGAACTGGCCGACGAGGAGAGGAACGAAACGAGTTCCTGTTATTCCTTCCTCTTCTTGAGTCCACCGTCGCCTTCTCCTGCCTTGCCAACGTCATCGTGCATGATCATAGTCATGGCTCGTCATCTGACTTGGTGCTGGCGTCTGACGTCACCCACGGACACAGCCGTTGTCGGTAGCCCGGAATCCTGAAGATCTTGGCAGCATTGCTAGGAGATTCGGACTGCCACGAACGGACACGCTCGCGTCGACTTTTTCCTTGTCGGTCTTCGAATCGGTTCGAGATTGATCGATCGGCTTGACTCGATGCAATTGCAACACGAGTGCTCGCTCGGTCGTACGGCAGACCGGGATTTGAACTATAAATATATTGCACAGCGATTTTTGCGATTCCCTTTTTTCTCTTTTTTCGAGGATCTAGGAGAATCTAGGAGGCTGTTCGTTTCGAACAATTTTAGGATCGGTATCGGATCGGTCGAGGAATATGTACAGTAATTTTTTATGCGGTACTGCACGCGTATAAATGTTTACGTAGGAGCTCGTTTTCGCAGCGAGGTTTTATTGGTGTTTAAAGTACGAACGATATTTTTGCGTCGTCGATGAATTGAAGCGAATTTGGGAAAAGTCGAAATCGACAAATGGCGGTTGTTTACGCAATGAAGTTATTTAATCGACTTTTTCCACGAGAAATATTTCAGGCTCGTTATCGTTCATCGTGTCGCGCAAGGTAGATCGTGACGTGATTTGATTGGAAATAATTTATTAGCTACCGTCGGCTTTCGACAGCTCGAAATGCGTAATCTGTTTTGTTTTTTAATGCGACCTTAATAACGTTGTTTAAGTTTGATTTATTGTCCACGGAAGGATACAGATTGTCCGAGGGGATATGTGCGGCAGAAGGAATTGCTTCCATTAATCAGGGAACTTCAACATCGAAACAGACGTTTTGCAATGAAAACTGCGGAGATACGTAGTATTTTTTTTTTTGGAAAACTGATTTCTGGCAGTTTTTTGGATTTAAAGTTGACAGCGTCGAAGTTTTAGTGTTCATCTTTTCTTGAAGGAATAGTGACAATTTTATGATAATCAGCTTGCACGTCGACATCATTGATGATCGCACAGCTATTCTCAACACACGCGTCATTATTACTGAATCGCATACTATTACACTAGCAATTGTTCAAACAGAGGTGACTCATTGTACACAATGGAATATTGTGCAGGTAGTTCAGAAAAAGCATTTAATATTTATATGTAGGACATACGGTATTCGGTGAAAAATTCTTGGTAAATACAGGTCGAAAGGTCAATTGTTTCTAGAATATAAATTAATTACTTGCTTTCGTCGCACATGCGACGATGTTTATTTCAGTGTTCAATTGCCGACACTGGATTTCGTCCAGAATCAGTCAGTTGTGAATCGGCGATCGTGGATCTTATTATTACTACAGAGTTACATCAATATTACACAATTATTATCAATCACGATGCTAGCAAACAAAAATGTTCGTATCTCAGAAACTGTTGACCTCTTGACCGATGTTTACTAAGGCTTTTTTCACACGGCTACAGTGTGTCCTATGTAGCATATAAATACCGAATGCTTTTTTTTGAACACCCTGTATATCCGTTAGCGTCTCCGAAGATCTTATCCTTCGTGTATTTATTTTTCTAAAAATAATTTCTGGTTATTTTCTGTTTAAAAGCGTTCTAAAAACGCCTTTTCTTTGACTAGAGACTTCGAACTAATATATTTAAACATTTTCTTTTCCCTGTTATTTTGTTCTTCACAATGTAACAGGACTCGCGATTTGTACGTGCAATATGTATCGTGTTGTTGCCGAACTCGAAACAGCGTTAATAATTTTGTAAACCGACAAGATATTTTGATTTCTAATAAGTATGCAAATTTCAGCTCGATTTCGTATCCAGTTATTAATTTATCCAGCTATTTGTTCATAACGTTTTCGGGAAATAGGAATTATGCTTTTAAGTTAGCACACTTTGGTAAAATTATAAATTATGTTGTGGAGTAGCTAGCAGGATTTCCTGACCAGTCTATTAGTGCTTAGCGTCTGAACGATACAGTAGTTGCTATTTAGCACGGTAACGATTCTAAACAAGACTTTCTGTAATTTGTGTCTAGGTCATTGTATTCTTTT